CACCACACTCGGGCGAGCACGCCCTGCGCGGGTGCATCTTGGACGTTCGAGGCGCAGCCGCTGGAGGAGGGCTTGTCGTCGTACGCGGTTATCTCGGCGACGCAGGACACGCGCTTCAACCCCGTGCGCGCCGCCGAGCTGCCCTCGCTGGCCGTCGCCGTCACCCTGCTGACCGACTTTGAGGACGCCGCCGACGCCGCCGACTGGGAGCTCGGCGTCCACGGCCTGCGCATCTCGTTTCGCTATAACGGGCGCCGGTATGGCGCGACCTACTTGCCGGATGTGGCGGTGGAGCAGGGGTGGACCAAGGAGGAGACGCTGGTTAGCCTGATGCGCAAGGCGGGTTGGATGGGCAGGAAGGATAGGTGGGAGGAGGTTGAGCTGAGTGTTGTGCGCTACCAGGGGAGGAAGGTGGGCTTGGAGTATGCCGAGTTTAAGCAGTGGCGGGATTGGGTGGATGGGACTGAGGCGTGATTGTGAGGCGGAGTTCTCATATCGGGGTGGGGAGTTTACAGGCCTAGAAGGTTTAGAGGCATTCGGGGGGTAAGGTAGGGGTGGTGTGGTAGTTTATGGTAATACGGTTCTGGCTTGAGGAGTACGGTTTGGGTAAAGGTTAAACGGTAGGTTTGGGTTGGACTCGGGGTAAACGGCTGCTCGAGTCCAGGATGGCCGGGACTGGGCAACGGGGGTCGTGGCGCATATTTCGTTTTCAGACGCCAACGCCCATTGCTACATGCTGGCCAACGAGTTTCCACATGGAGGATCTCATGTTCCATCGTATCCCGTGATTTAGAACTGGTATATATAATACAAGGCGATAGAGCCAGACTTTCAATTACAGCTGTCCCTAGGAGAGAGCAGCACCACGGACAATTTAACATCGTAAATACAGGCCACATATCAAAACATCCCACCGACGTACCACGCCCACCCAAAGCAAGGCGGCTCCCTTGTCAATAATCCCAGCAACGTCAACAATTATCGGAACACTAACTGACCCGACAGCAACTCCAGCCAAGGGAAGAAACAGATAGATCATGGTACCCCCCGCAACCAGAACAGAGCCAACCGTGGTATCTCTCGCGCGCTCCCCAACCCCGACCGAAAAGCATTGTTCCCAACTCCCTGCTACAATAAACCATCAAGATTCCCTCCCATCCCGGACCCGGAATACCGAAACCCTCTTCGCGACCCTAATACCATCAGCCTTCATTATCTTGGCACGCCCCCCACGCTTCACAAGCTTCCTCCCCCCTCCGGCCCCAGAAATCCCGTGGCACAGCCGGCCCTACCAGCAGCGCAACTTCTTCCAGAACCGCCCGCCACCATCCCCCACCCGATCCCCCTGCATCTTCGGCCCCCTGACCCCCAACCTCCTCCTCCCATCCTTCTCCCCACCACCACCACCACCCTCATCATCCTCCCCTGCCGGCGGCAACGGCGTCAACGGCTTCGTCATGCCGCGACTATTCGCCGCCAACTCACCATCCCCACCACCCCCACCACCACCACCACCCCTCTCCGCCCTCCGCCTCGCCTCCTCCACGCGCCGCACAATCAGCGCAAACGTCTCCTCCACGTTCACCTCGAGCCGCGCGCTGGTCTCCATGAACCCGCACCCGCGCGCGCGCGCCCACTCCAGCCCCGCCGCGGCCGGCACGCGCCGGGCCTCGGCCAGGTCGCACTTGTTGCCGGCGACCATCTTGACCGGCGGGACGGTCTTGCCGCCGGAGCCGGCGCCGGGGTTGTGGTTGTGGTTGTGGTGAGGGGGGAGGTTGGTGCTGGTGGGGGAGAGGCCCGCGCGGCGGGCGCGCTCGGCGTTGTCGAGGCGCGTCTCTGCTTCCATGTCGATCAGCTCGTTGAAGTAGTCGAGGGCGTCGAGGGAGGGCGGGGACGTGATGTCGTAGACGAGGAGGAAGGCGTCGGCGCCGAGGTTGGACGACGCCCACATGCCGCGGTATTCTTCCTGCCCGGCCGTGTCGGTCAGCGAGAGGTGGTATACCGCGCCGTCTAGCCGCCGCGTCACGCTGTAGCTGTCCTCGATGGTCGGGTCGTACTCGCTGGTCCATTGGCTGCGCACGAGGCGGAGCGTGATGGAGGACTTGCCGCAGCCGCCGTCGCCGCAGATGGTGATGGAGATGGGGACGGGCGGTTGGGAGGCGTCGGACGCTGAGGGGGTGTGTGATGGTTTCATTGTGTTTTTTTTTCCTTCTTTTTTTAGGGGCGCGGTTCTCTTTCTGTTTGGTGTGTAAGGGGGCGATCGGCTTCGTGACGATCGATTGTGGCGCGCGCGCCGGACCGCAAGGGCGGTTGCCGCGGGTGGATGCGTGTAGATCTTTTCGGTGGGAGGTTGCGCGGGGGATTGTGCGACGCGTGGGTTGAAGGTTTCTGCGCAACGGGTAAGAGAAGTGAATGTCTGACCGCGCGTGCGAGACGGCGATCGAGTGCCGAAGCTTTGCGACAGGGGTTGACTGGTTGGCGATTTGTCGTCAAATGGCGTGCCGCACGCGTCGTGTGTGTTTGGCCAAGTGCCGCAACTTGTGGTAACTCACTATTTTGGCGGCGTGCGGAGGATGAACTAGGCCGGATTAGGTATGGAGGCAAAGCAGAACAACCGAATGTCACCGATTCAATGATTCAATGGAGTAGTTAGTTATTAATTAATTCAACTTTTCAAGTTCCCACTAGTCAGCTACACAGTACTTCACGCACATCGCCGACGGCCTCACTTGAAGAACCTACTCATGTTGCCGACGTGGACCTCGAATATTCCAGATTTCTCAGGATTCTTTTTATTTCTTCTCTTGTAGGACGAAATCGTAGACAATAAAACTTCTCATTAACAATTCACCATTAGTTATCTCTTTCCATCCGAATAGAGCTGACCAAGGTTTTGAAGGCGGCCTCCAGAACAGCAATCCATTAGTTCAGATTCTTTAACGAAAAACTCTTCACAATTGTATCATTATCATTTTCCACCAGCGTCCCATCAGGCAGCTCATAATAGCAGTGTGGCAAAACCCATCCGCTCCTCAGCTCCCCCCCAAACACGCCCAGCCCCTTCAACGCCTCAACCCGTTCCCGGTCCCACAGACAAAACCCAGCATACCTCCAGCGGTCCAACAGCCCGGCCCGGCCCTGCGGCGGCATTTCATCGAGATGTCTCCACATCCGCTGGCGAAGCTGGCACAGCCCCTCCCCGAACCTGTTGATGTCCCACCCGCGCAGCGCCTCCAGCCAGGCGCACGGCGCCACGTCGAGCCCTTCCCCAGCATAGAGCACCGCGGCCGCCTCGTCCAAGTCCCAGTCCCATGTATCTCTGCCCGGCGCCGGGAACTTGCCCTGGCACCAACCCTGCAGCGCGGGCACCTGATGGTCGTTCACTTCCTCGCCGTAGATGCCGGCGAAAGCGGGCGTGAGCTGGTTGCGGGCCGCGCGCTCGACCACGCCGCGGCGGGCCTGGGCGAGCGGGACGAGCCGGTCTAGATCGGTGAGCAGGTCGGTGAGCTGGCGGCACAACAGGCGCTCGGGGCGTTTGCCGGCCCGCTGCTGCTGCTGCAGGTCCTGCCCGTGCACGAGCACGAGGCACAGGTGGGTGAGGAAGACGTCGACGTGGTCGATCTGCTGCATCTCCCAGGACTCGAGCGTGCCGAAGAGGCCCAGTGCCGCGCCTTCGTGCGTGCTCTGGTTGCTGATGGCTGCGACTTCCTCCAGCCACAGCACCCGCGAGTGGCCGCCCGAAGCCCAGACGTTGCACAGCATCTGGCGGCGGTAGAGGCTGCGTAGGAGCCGCCGCCGCTCTAAGAGAGAGAGCGGTGCCGTGGCGGGCGTTTTGGCCCCGTCGCCGTGGTCGAATGACGCGAGCCGCGCCGTGACGTAGATGTCGGCGAGGAGGTTGATCTGGCGAAGGGTGCGGCAGATCCCGTTTAGCTCCTCGAGCGGAGGGGTGGCAGCGGGGTGCAGTGATATACCAGTTTGGAGGATCTTGTGGTATATCTCGGACTTGGTGTGCACCCATTCGAGATGTTGGGCGGCGTCTCTGGGGCCCGAGCAAGGGAGTGAAAAGAGAAACCTGGCATCAGCCAGCACCGGGCCCAGCTCGTTATGCAGGACGCGGAAAAGGACGGCCCGCCGTTGAACCCTGAAGCGGTGGTACACGAAGCGAGCCGTGGCGATGAAGTGGGCGAGGTCGCTCACGGTGTCAATCTCGAACATGATCTTGTCGAACAACTCGGGTGGTAGATGGCCAAGATGATTGCGGGAGACGACATGGGAGCGCGTGTTGTTCTCCGTCCGCGCTTTGGAAGCCATTTTGCGAACAATGTGTGGGGTTGATGAGGTGAAGTGAGTGGGTGGCTTTTATGAGTGTGTGATTAATGAAGGAGAGATGGGTGGCTTTTTTTTAGGGAGCGACGGATGACTTTATATGACCAGTCGTTGTTGGGTGAACGGCTGAAGATGAGACGGATGGCGTTATATTATGACCACCCGATGTTGGATGAAGTCATAGAAGCGACGAGACCCTAAGCGTCTGGTCAGGGCCACGATGCTCACCATCACTGAGTTCAGTCCGGTCACGGTCTAGTCCGTTCCAGATGCAGCTCGCCAGCGGAAATCTCGCCGGCGGCGCGGACAGGTTCAATAAATACGTAATTGACTTCGTACAATGACGGATACGACTCAATGCTAGTTACCCTGCCGACTCCTCATGCTTCTTGCTCTCACCCTTGGCCACGGGCGCACCCGTCTGCGGCTCGTTCTTGGATCCAGGCTCGTTCTCGTAGCTGCCGCCATGCGCCTCATACTCCCTCGCCAGCTTCATCCCCTTCCAAGCTGCCCACTGCCCCTTGCCATCTCCAGATTTGTTGGGCTCTTGCTGGATCTCTGTCGATGAAACCAAAATTCAATGACGATACGACCTGTTGCCTACGGGATAGTCGCCTTACCTTCTTTGAGGTGCTCGCGGAGTTCCGGATCGGTGGGGATGCCTTTGCTGCTTGGCATTTTCCGTCTTCAATTGAATGTAATCAGGAGATGTTTGATTGGGGTTGGTATGTAAATGGGGAGACTGGAGGGTGTCTGTATATGGGCTGAGGTGGCTCATGATCATATGGTGGCATCCACAACCCTTGCCACTTAGAAGCTAGCTAGGCACCAATGATATCATTGGCAACGTCATGTTGAGGCAGGCAGTGTTTACTGTGGGCACCAGTTGAATTCATCAGTTGAGAGGTTTGGATACCGGCCCTTTAAGCTGAACCCTCTTCCTCATGGTCATCTTTTCTCTTCCTGCCTTAACGTATAATGTCCAGAGGACACAGAGGCCTAACCCGCTTTACGTGTGGTAGGCAGTTGCCACCACGGCCGACTACCTATTCCAACACCGTTTACTCATTCACTGTGTTAAACTCGTTACTCGTCAAGCAACCCGAAGGCCAATTTGGCCCCTAGGTCTGAATTTTCCGGTCCCGCTGGTCTGCCCACGGCTTTCTGTCGCCCTTCTACTGCCGAGTTTGTGGCAGAATCTTATGGCTTGTTAGTCACAGTTTAACAGGGGCCCACATGAATAACTGTTCCCACTGCCCTGCCACCGAGTTCAAGAATTTGGATACATTTTCCGCACCGCTTTTGATCCGCGCCAGGGAACCTAAGTTAAGTGGACTTTGCATCACCAGCTGATTTATCAAAATATTCCATTTTAATACATGTGCCACTGGATCCAACTTTCTTCAAGTCTTTGCTTAGGATGTTTCGAGCGGGCCTGCGGTTGGTTACCTTACCTACCTACCTAGGTACTTACATGTAAGCGACTGGACTGGATTGAGTGGAACAACCAACCAACCAAACAAACCCTGAGCCAACAAACCTGAACCAGCAAAACTGAATCTCGAAAACAAAAACAACCTCGAACCTAAACTGCAAACCGAAGCCTCGCGGCACACCCACGCGTTGGGGATAATCATTTTCGCTCTATCCCCTTCCCCTTTCCATTCTCTATCACTCTCTTTTTGTCGTCCGGTTCAAACCCAACTTGGGATTGCGGCGCGGGGGAATACTGCTGTTTTTGTATACCGACGTGTCGGCAGGACTCTGCTACAATCTGTGATACACATGCATCATGTCCTAGCTAGACGCATGAAGCTTGCTGGATCGGGATCAAGGTGCATGTGTGGCTTGTTAGGTCAAAGATGAACAGAGTCTGAGGAAGTGACCATGTCCGGCTTATCAGGGGCAGTTATTAGGGGCCGCCCCAGGAAAATTCTGAAACGTTGGATTGGACAGGATATCCGGGTTGAGGACTATGGGGAGCCGTGGGAGTTGAGGTGGTTGAGGAAACCGCAACACCATGGTAACACCCACGCTTGGCTACAGCCTACATGTACCTAGCCGGGGGTTACGTACGAGACAGTGAGCGGTTAAAAACCCGCTAATATACTCGAATGCCAAGAACTCCGGTTTCCGGCTATCCTCCTTTTTCGGCTTGTCATGACTGTGGGGTCTGGTCCCGGCCGGCCGCGGCGACACGTGGGGCGTGGGGAGCAAGATCCCGACCATCCGGCCCCTAGACCCTTCTAGTAACTAAGCAAAATTCGAGATCTTACTTAAGTATGACTCCCTGACATTGGCCCCGTTTCCTCCCTGCACCCCTCCACCCTTCCACCCCAACCCCGTTGTTGGTACCATCCCTAGATTTGTATCAGGAACTAAAAATGGATACAACACATGGGGACAAGTCCCTGAACAGGGCCGACGAGGTCGAACATGTAAGTGGTGGGTCCTGGTACCCCCCACGCGAGCACACCATTGACACCTTGGTAGCTCATTGATGCCGTAAAAGCACTGATAGTCCCCTTCGTTCGGGAGGCGGATGAAGCAATCCCGTCCAGGGCGGCCGGGGAGCTTCTCCCGAACGCGCAGGGGGTTGTCAAGAATACCCTTGTCTACGCCCAGAGACCCGAGGACTTGGTCCGGGAACTAGCCTTTAACCTCCCCGAAGGGAAAGGCCGGGGTGAAGAGGGCTTGCTTGAGACTATCAAGGATGTCCTCAAGTATAGCGTCAATACGTGGGACCAGGGGTTCCTGGACAAGCTGTATGCCAGCACCAATCCAGTTCAGTCTTCCAGCCCGTTACCACCGCTCAGATTCTTGTTCTAACTATAGCGTACCAGGGTTGGCGTAGCTTCTGAGCTCCTTCTGGCCGCTCTGAACACAAATGTAAGCGGGTTGTCGGGGACATTACCCCTGAGCCCCGAGCCCCCGAGTCTGAGGAGATGCCCATGACTAACACGACGAAGGTACACGTCTACCAAGTCTCGCCGGCCCTGACCGTCATCGAAAAGCACACAGCCAAGTCTCTCGCCAACCTCTTTGGCTTCACCGGCCCCCGCGCAGGAGGCGTGACTTGCCAAGGCGGAAGCTCCTCCAACCTGACCTCCATCGTCATCGCCCGCAACACGCTCTACCCAGAGTGCAAATCCCCAAAGCAACAACGGTGCCCCCGGCCCCCTCATCCTTTACACCAGCGTCCACGGTCACTACTCAGTTGAAAAAGCCGCCGTGACCTGCGGCCTGGGCTCCGCCTCGGTCTGGACCGTCCCCGTCGACGCCACAGGCCGGATGGACCCCTCGGCCCTGCGCGCCCTCATCCAACGCGCCCAATCCGAGGGCAAGACACCGCTCTACGTCAACGCCACGGCCGGCTCGACCGTGTTGGGCTCCTACGACCCCTTCGAGGCCATCGCCGACATCTGCGCCGAGTTCAACCTCTGGATGCACATCGACGCGAGCTGGGGCGGGCCGGCCATCTTCTCGCCCACGCACCGCCGCAAGCTCGCCGGCTCCCACCGCGCCCACTCCCTCACCTCCAACCCGCACAAGATGCTCAACGTCCCCGTCACCTGCTCCTTCCTCCTCGGCCCGGACACCGCCGTCTTCCACCGCGCCAACACCCTCCCCGCCGGCTACCTCTTCCATACCACCACCACCACCACCACCACCACCACCACCACAACCTCCGAACCCACGCCATGCATTCCGAGGTTAAAATGAGGGGGCATAAATGAACTGTGGCGAGACTAGCCGCGTTTGATTGAGTTCTCCTTACGTGACGGCCCGCTCCTGGGCCAAGCC